GGGGGTTAAAAGGGATGTAGTTAACTAGTTATAAAAGGATAGTTTAGAGGAGAGAGAAATATATTGAAGTTTAATTGTTGTATATAGTCACGAGAGAATTCATTTTTTCAAATCTCTTCACATGTGCATATATGTTAGTTTAATGATTTTTCCTATTTCTGAGTTGTGACTTTGTATAGTCATGAGTTTTCATTTAATCCATTATTAGGTAGAGCCCACCCCTGAATAAAGCCTCTGTCAGTTTGCCTTTAGAAATTGATTCTACTCTGCAATCTTGGATTTTAATATTTCTTACTCTGAACAAACTTTTAAATCTTCATCTTTTATCATCAGTTCCAATATAACTATTTGAGTACCTCAAATTAGCAAAGGAAAATCCTTCTTTTAACTTATTAGCCATTACCATTTTTCTGCTGCAATACAGGTGGTGTACTTTTTGCTGGTCCAAAATCTTGTATCAAAACCATATTCAAATAATTCTGTGGAAAGAATGTTCATTCACCTTCAATAAATGCATTGTAGTTGTTGGGATGAGAAGGTATGAAATTAAACACTTTGATTTCTTATGTTTGTGCTCTTTATTTATAAGTTTGAAAGTCTTCAAGCTTTTTATTTGACTCTTTAATGCCAAATTGATCCAACAGTTTTCAGGAAGAAGCCCTTACTTAATGGACAACTGCTCACCAAGTAGCAGTGACAAGAAAACACTGAAGAGGTGGTTCTTCATTGACAAAAGAGTTGGGTAAAAAAAAAGAGAAAAAAGAAAAAAGAAAAAATTAGTTTGGAGGGATAATTTGCACTAGTTTTTGTTTTTCTTTCCTTCTTCTAGTGCAAGTAGTTGTCTTAATTTCGCTCTAGTAAGTACATTGCAATAAATCTAATGGAGTTGAAGTCAAACCATTCTTCTCCTGTTCTCACTGACCCTGCACCGGTGAACAAGTCAAGACTAGGCATCCCTTCCGGTTTGTTGCCTTACTCACAGCAAGGACCGTCGTTTTCCGCCTCCGGAAAGTACATCTCGATTCCAAGGAAAAAGCCGGGAAAGCTCGATGATGTTCGGTCCAACGGATGGCTGGATGCAATGAAATCGTCCTCACCCCCTCGGAAGAAGCTCATCAAGGACTTCTCCCTTGAGGTCACTGCTGCAGCCGATGATTCGGAGAGCCCTTATTGCTCATGGATGGTAATGTGTTCTTGCAAATCTTTTTTTTCTTCCTTGCTTTTAAAACAAGGCGGTTAGACATTTGAATTCAAAACCTTTTGAGTATGGAATCACCACTAGACTACAAGGTATGCGCCTTTTGTTTGTACGTGTGTTTTAATATGTTTGATTGCTTTCATGGCGCAGCTCAAGTATCCATCAGCACTTTACTGTTTTGGGCAAATTGTAAAGCAGCATGCGAGTAACAAGAAAATAGCAATTTTTTTGGACTATGATGGGACTCTTTCTCCAATTGTGGATGATCCAGATCGTGCCCTTATGTCTGATGCCGTAAGAATTGTTTTTATGATTTCTTTTTTCTTTGTTTGTCCTTTTGTTTCTGAGTTTCTAATCAAACTCCTTGTCTTTAAATCAGACGCGTTCTGCTGTGAGAAATCTGGCATTGTATTTTCCAACGGCAATCATAAGTGGAAGAAGCCGTGATAAGGTAATCTAAGAGAGATTTTGATTTTATGAAATTTATCGTCCTGGTGAAATTACCAAAAACCTCAATGTTTTTGCTTTTTTCCTTGCATATGTATCCTTATAAACCTGAAAATTATGGGAAAAAAAGGGATCTTTTTTCCAATTGTTCTATAATCTAGGTGCAACTTTTTCTTTTTAATTTATTTGAATTTATTGTTACAGGTTTTTGAATTAGTAGGACTAACAGAACTGTATTATGCTGGTAGTCATGGGATGGACATTATGGGCCCTGTTAATAGTAATACAGTGTCAGATGACCATCCTAACTGTGTCAAATCTACTGATCAACAGGTAATAATTATAAAAATATATATATATATATATATATTCCTAATCGTAACACCTTAGTTTAATTTCTTAAGACTCAATTATTCAACTTAATCATTTTCTCTATCTATGTTTGTGACAGGGTAAGGAGCTAAAGCTCTTCCAGCCCGCTAGAGAGTTTTTACCTATGATCGATGAGGTATATAATATAATATAATATAATATTTTCTCATCTAGTTATGTATAAAAGAAATAAAAAAAGTAAAAAAAACAAAATAAATTGATTTTTTATGCAGGTTTTTAGAACCCTTGTCGAGAATACTAAAGGAATTGAAGGCGCAAAAGTTGAAAACCACAAATTTTGTGCTTCTGTACATTATCGTAATGTAGATGAGAAGGTAAGACTTAACATTAAGTGTGTTACTTTTAAAAAAGAAATGTAGAATTTAGTTAACAATTAATATCTGTTATCAGAATTGGTCTACGGTTGCACAGTGTGTCCATGATATTTTAAAAGACTACCCTCGTTTGCGATTAACTCATGGGCGTAAGGTAATTAACTATGTTTATTTAAGTTTAATCACTCACTCGACTAATTATAGTTGTATAGGATCATATTTTTCACTTTCTACTCCTTTTTTTCCTCCATTTGCTAATAGGTTTTAGAGGTTCGCCCTGTGATTGACTGGAACAAGGGAAAAGCAGTTGAATTCCTGCTTGAATCTCTTGGTACACTCTCTATCTCTCTGTATATGTATGTGTGTGTCTAAAACCTACGTATTATTCGCGACTTATCAACTCTGAGATCTACGATTTCATGACACAAGGACTTGCATAATTTTATATGTTAAGGGCCTGTTCGGTTAACTAATTCGAGTTTTTAATTCGAGTTAAGATTTGATATTGTGTGAGAGCTTTTTACTGTAGTAAAACAGTTAGATGTGACTGTTTTTTAGAGTTTTTTACTGTAGCAAACTCGAATTCTAAACTCCGAATAGTAAAAATTCAGTAATAATCACCGCATGCGACAAATTGACAATCAATATTTTTATTTTGATATTTATATTTTCTTGCTTAATATCTTACATAAATGTCCACAACTGGTGCAGGGCTAGATAGTAGTGATGATGTGCTCCCTATCTATATTGGCGATGATAGAACCGACGAAGATGCATTTAAGGTAACAACTAATAAATTCCCTGTTGGTTGTGAGTTTTAGTACTCTACTTTCTTAATACTAATATTAATCACAAATAGAAGTCCAATTTAATAAGCACAATTTTCAACATCTCTTCAGGTTTTGAGGGAAAAGAGTAAAGGCTATGGAATTCTAGTCTCTTCAGTCCCAAAAGAAACCAAAGCAGTCTACTCTCTCAAAGATCCTTCCGAGGTTTAAATCCCATCTTTGAATTATTTAACTTGTAATTATGCCCTTAATGACTTGTGTTTATGCCCTTTTTGATCTGAATTAAAATAAAACCCTTTCTAAATTATGTTTGCAGGTGATGGAGTTCCTCAAGTCCCTAGTGAGATGGAAGGAGCAGGATGAAGCTGAAATCGCTTAATTATCATTCTAAAAGCACATTATAATAATAATAATAATAATTATTATTATTATTATTCTAGGCGTATTTAGCTTTTGAAGATTTTCATACGTTCTTAATAATTTCTAGGCCACTAGGAGAGAGTTGCTGCTTTTCTCTTCCTATTGTCTTTATTGTTTTCAATCATTAGTATCTTTGATCAATTATTATTATTATTATTATTTTTTGCCAAAGAGAGAAATGCTTATGTTTATTTCTTTTTCCTAGCACCTTAGATTTTTTTCCCTACTCGAGGCAAAAGTATGTTATTTATTTGAATGGCTATTGAATAATATATCCAGCAATGGAAATTGTTATTATTATTATTTTTTTTTATCTAAAAGACAGTTTGAATAATTTACATTTAGATGTGTAACTATCTAGCCTAGGTAGTAATAAAAAAGGGTCATTATGAGATCGATCTCCTAGGCCCAAACAACACAAATTGGAGTCCCAAATCTTAGGCCCAGACTACAGAGTTGCAAAAACCAATATTTGTGGTTTGATTTATAAGATGGGAAAAATCCCAATCCTGATATTTTGGGTTGCGATACACCTTACACCCCTAAATAATGCAAAAGCTTTACAAAAGATAATGTAAAGTTTTTTTTACTCTTTTTGTTTTTAATCTTTTGAGTTAGTACACAAATCAATAAATCTACAATTAGTTGAACAATTTTTCTTGCTAATTATCAACTATGTTTCCATGTTACTTTCAACTGCTTTTTCCATTCCTCCTCATAGGTTGGTAAGCCTAAAACAAAAATAAAAAGTGGTAAGCCGCCCCCATTATGAAATGATTAATAATAATCGGATAAATAAAATAAAAAGAGAATAGAAAGCCGTTTAGTTTTATATAATATAGAATTGATTGGTCACACTTATTTTGTTAGTTTAAATTATAACTCAGATATTTACTATAAAATTTTCTCCCTAAGAGAACAACAGTTTGAGTTGGACCAAACCCATTTGCTAGAGAAAAAGAAAAGAAAAAAAGAGAAACCTGATAATATACAGTAGTGTTATTTATTTATTTATTTTTGAGAAAATGACAAGTTATTATATGGATTTCTGAGTAATGGAACGTATTTCTGAATATACGAGTTTTGTTATTCATATCATGAAGTATATATATCTGAAATTTTTTCCCAAGAAAAAAAAAAAAGTTAACATCGTGTGTGTGTTTATTTTCTCTTTTTTACATTGAAGTGAAAAAAAAAATACCATCAAAAAAAAAATTTGAAGAAGAAATGAAAAATTAAAGTATTGTTTATTCAGCCAAAAAAAAAAAAAGAGAAAAATTATATAAGCATTTCCGATCCACTTTAGTATCATTCCAGCTGAATTGTTTCCGGTTTTAGTGTCATTCCAATGTCGTCAGTGTCCTTGCAATCTCCGCCGTTTTCAGCTCTCTCCTCTTCTTCTTCTTCATCTCTCCAGGTAACTTCCCTTCCCTGATTCCTCTCTCAATCTTCAATCCTTTTCTATTCTTTGTCGTCTCCTGTTTTCATTTCAACTTCTTCGATTTCGCTCTCAGGGAAGAAGAGGATTGAGCTTCTCCGGTCGATACAGAGCTTCCAATTTCATCGTCTTCAACCTCCCCAAATCCTGCACTCCTATCCGAGCTTCCTCTGGCTCTTCTTCCTCTCTCGACACTGGTCCTCTCTCTCTCTCTCTCTCTCTCCTTCAATGCATTTTGTGGATTTCAAATCTTCATAATTGTTATCGGATTAATTTTGCATTTTCTCACTTCTCAAGTTCTATTTTTTCTATTAATTTTAGGCTCCGGCACTGAATTAGAAGCCGTATCTACTTTCAGCGAGATCGTTCCGGACACTGTAATTTTCGATGATTTCGAGAAGTATATAATATTTTCTTCTTCATCTATATACATTTTTCCTTTTCGGATGTTTTGCGTAATTGGAGCTAAATAGTGTTTTTGAGTAAAGATTTAGCCTTTAATTAGTTCTTCTTCTTCTTCTTTTTTGTTTTTGTTTTTTTTAATTAATTGTGATGCAGGTTTCCTCCAACTGCTGCTACAGTTAGCTCTTCGCTTCTCTTGGGAATATGCGGTCTTCCGGACACCATTTTCAGGGTAAAATCTTCAATTTCATGGAATTTGACAAGAAAAGTGTGAATATTGCTTATAAAGATTGTTCATTAGTTTTTTTTTTTTTGTTTTTTTGGTAGAACGCTGTGGATATGGCTTTGGCAGATTCAGAGTGTTCTAAGCTGGAAAACTCCGAGCTGAAAATGTCATGTTTCTCTAACAAGGTTGGTTTGATTACAATATAGTTGTTGGAAAAGAGTATGTATTTGGGTGAATGGATTAGTTGGTTCACATACTTTTTGTTTGGAGATGTAGGCTCTAGTCAATGTTGGTGGTGATTTGTCAAAACTAGTCCCTGGTCGAGTTTCAACGGAGGTAGATGCACGACTTGCCTATGACACTCATGGCATTATTAGAAAGGTATAGATTTATTTCCCAATTAAAATGTTTCTTTTGTTGTTTTAAACCAGTGTTGTGTGAGTTGTAGTGGCGGACACCATTGGTGCTTTTTATTTTTATTTTTTCTTGTTTTATATGCAACCCCAATATTCTTTCTAGAGTTGTATGGTTGGTTTCAATGAGTTGTGTAGTTTTTGATGTTCTAGAATGATTTTATTAAATGGGTTTTTTGCTTTATCTCAATCTACTTATTCAGCTCAACTTTAGCTGTCAAAATCTATTTGGAATCCTAGCATCACCATGTGGGTTTTCGTCAAACTTTCATTGGTGCATGCCCATGGAGGGGCCAGATGCACAAAGGATGAGAAAAGGGAACGTATCATGCGTTCACCTTTTCTTTGGTTGTGTGTGCTTGGTCTCTTGGGCACCAAATTGTTGTTTGTGCATGTCAACTGTATTGGCACTCTGATGCCAGTGCTTTATTTGCTATTGCTTGATTGGAGTCTAATGCGAGTACTTTATCAAGAATTGCAGGTCCATGATTTGCTGAAATTGTATGATGAAATCAATGTGCCTCCTGAGCGTTTGTTGTTCAAAATTCCTTCAACTTGGCAAGTAAGTTTCCAGTAAAATATTGTTTTTATATCGCTCATCGAGATAATTTTATTCCTTAAATTCTTACATGAAGCCTCCTACTTATTATTTCACTGTTCTGCTGCGGTTCACTAATTTCATTTCTGCTCAGGGAATAGAGGCTTCGAGATTACTGGAATCTGAGGGCATACAAACTCACTTGACGTTTGTGTACAGGTACTATATTTGTTCCCATAACCGAGCAGATTAGCTTCTCTTTCATAGTTTTGCCATCGCACTCATCTACTTAAATTTCATCAAACTTTTGTATCTTCTGACGTCCCCCCCCCCGTCTTTCTCAATTGTGTTCACTTCCCATCTTGTGGGTTCATGAATCGTGAAAGTTTTGTTATGTTTTCTTAGCTTCGCTCAAGCTGCAGCTGCAGCCCAAGCTGGTGCTTCTGTCATTCAAATATTTGTTGGTCGCCTCAGGGTAATCTTCTATCTTTATTCTTTACTGACTATTTCTTACTCTGTATCATTCCATTGAGGTTCATTTTATTATTCAGGATTGGGCTCGTAATCATTCCGGTGACCCTGAGGTAGAAGCTGCTCTCAAAAGGGGAGAGGATCCTGGGATAGCATTGGTTAGTTGAACGGTTCTAATATTCCGATCGCATAATTGCTTTCTGTTGTTTTCATAGGGAAGAAGTCTTTTGAGGTCTTATTGTATCATACAACGGCATTAGTAGCTGAATGTTGAGACACCTTCATAGCCAAGTTTCTTTTCTTGTCTCTAATGGTTTCGATTAATCTCCTCATGTGAATGGCGCAAGAATGTTTCCCGAAGACAATTGACTATGAAATTGCTTTTGTCACATGATTTTTCTTTTCGTAAATCATTTCAGGTGACAAAAGCTTACAATTACATCCACAAATATGGACATAAGTCAAAGTTGATGGCTGCAGCAGTTCGTAACAAGCAGGATTTGTTCAGTCTCCTAGGGTAACTATATACAACTAATGGGAAATTCTTGACTATTTTGACTCGAATAACTTTCTGTGGATGCTGATTTCTTTTTCACTTATAGGGTTGATTATATCATTGCACCATTGAAAGTTTTGCAATCACTCAAAGAATCTGTCACTGCTCCTGGTGAGAAGTATTCTTTTGTGAGGAGGCTATCTCCAGAAACTGCTGCTATCTACAACTTCAGTAAAGAGGAGGTCTACTTTCCTTTTCAATGTGCATTTTCGCTTCTTTAGCTCAGAATTTGTGTTGTAAGTTGATTATTGAACTACCCTAATCAGCTAATTGACTGAAGTTGCTATGAATGTTCAGCTCACAAAGTGGGACCAGCTGAGCCTTGCATTGGCTATGGGACCCGCTGCCGTTGAGCTTCTGGCCACAGGACTGGAAGGTAACGCTAACCAAGCGAGGCGAGTTGAGGAGTTATTTGGAAAGATTTGGCCGCCTCCCAATGTGTAGAATCTAGTCGAGTTTGTCACTCTTGCCTTGATGAAATAAGAATAGTCTTTCGTTTGTTTTTTTGTTTTTTTGTTTTTATTTTTTTCAATTTTCCTTACTTTCTTCTCTGTTTTCTCTCAGGAACCTTTTAATCCTTGTCTTCTTGACTAACATGAAAAGAAAAACTTTGCTTAATGAATGAGTTGAGCATTATGTTCTCCACACCATAATGCTTTAAGGCAAAAGTCGGACAAGTTTGGCACATGACTAACCTGAATTCCCATTTACCTGAGAACGTCAAGTTCATTCCCTTTTTTATTTTCTTGTAAGGTTCGTTCTTCAACTTCGACTCTGAAATTTGTTGATTTAAGTCTTTTAAGATATTGATCGTCATTTAGGCCAGATTTAATCGTCTTAACTTAAATGTCTTGATTTAATCGTCTTAACTTAAATGTCTTGATTTAATCGTCTTAACTTAAATGTCTTGTTACTGATATTAATGTCGGCTTTCAATTGTGTGTGTTTTTTTTTAAGAGGCCGTTTAGTTCGTTGATTCGAGTTGAGATGTGACTTTATATAAAAACTTTTTATTGTAATAAAAAAGTTAGATGTGACTGTTTCTTAGAGATTTTTACTGTAGCAAAACTGTAAAATGAATGGGACTTAAGTTGTTTCAAAATTATTGACGTTTCAGAAGTTGTAGTTTGTATTGCAGGATTGTAGGATTGTACGATGTAGAGTCCTTTTAATAGTCTCTCTGGTTTTCATTGATTATGTACTGTTGTTGATGAAGATGTTGTCGTTTTAAAGTATTTTTTATTGTACTTTAAATTATTCCTTTCTTTTCGTACCGTCGTGTGCATTATATGTCGTCGTTTTTGAGCACATCATACGTTTTTGTGTTATTACACCATACCCTTGTGGATACAAAAAAAAAAAAAAAATGATTACCAGCACTAAGTTTTGATTCTTGGCAATAAGTTTTTGAAGGATTTCCTGAAAGCATCATATTCTTATTACATAATAACTAAAAATCATACGGAAAAGTCATATTAACATGCAAATATTCTAGTTTTTAAGGAAATTTAGCAACAATATTTTGTATTTATTTTAAAATATTTTGTCTTTCTTTTTCTTCATGAAATTACTGGAAAAGATAGTTCACAAGTTAAATTGGGTCACCTGCTTTATTTCGTTTTTTTTTTTTTTTTTTTTTTTTTTTTTTTTTTTTTTTTTTCAAAAATTGGTCATTTAACTTTAAAGAACTTCTAGAACTAACTACCGATAACCTTTCGTTAGTGTTAAAAAGGAACTTAAATTTACATTTTTTAAGAGAAAAGCAGATATTATATAGCATGTGGTATCTTGTAAATGGGAAAAGATGATTTATAAATGGGGTCGAACTCACAATCCCTCACCCAAAGCCCTCTCAGACATCCCTTCACTGCTTGTTTCCAAATTAAATTAGTACACTTTGTTCAATGTCTTTTCTAGGATATGTGAGTTTTTTCTTCTTTTTAAATTATGTTTATTGTTGTTTTCAGGACATCATGTTGTTTTTATGTTTATTTTTTCTTCTCATTGTCGTTTCCATTATATGTTGCTTTTGTAAATTATTAGTAGTTTTTTTTCAAAAAATATCTTTTATAATATTTTCTGTCGTCGAACAGCGTGTTGTTTTTTCATACATATTGTCGTTTATAGGGGATAATGATGTTTTCCTGATCTTTTCTCAGTTTCTTACCATCTTGTAGTGACAGAAAGATAAATAATGAATGCAGAAAGTAATAAAAAGACATATAAAGACATATAGTGAATACAGAAAGTGACAGAAAGACAAATAATGAATGCAGAAAGTGAAAGAATAGTGACGCTAGAAAATAGAGAATAATAAAAACCTCAAACCGTATTTTTTTATTTTTTTTAATTTATTTTTTGGAATGAAACCTCAAAGACGAATAGAGAATTAATTAAGAATGGAAACGAAGTATAGACGTGGAAGTTTTTTTTTCTAAAAAAAAAAAACATATGTACATGAAAAAGAAAGACAAGCGCCATAGCCACAAAATAATAGCCGTAAAACTTTGCAAAGCTCAAAATCTAAACGGTATATACACAAGAAAACATTGAAACTAATTATGTTGTTGATTATATATCTTTTATTTCTCATAGCATCAAAACAAAGCTCAGTTGTTATAATACTAGCAACATACATACGTCCACCAACAAGAAATTAGGACTTGAATGGTCTCGTTCTTTTCGCTGATTCGAGTTTAGAACTCAAGTTTTGCTATAGTAAAAAACTCTCAGAAACAGTCACATTTAACTTTTTTGCTACAGTAAAAAGCTCTCACATAACATCACATCTCAACTCTAATTAAAAACTCAAATTAGCGAACCGAACGGCTTCTATACAATTGTGTGACACAAGCTAGAAAGTTCATTGAATCAACATTCTTAAAAATATGCTTTGACTCCTATCTAGTCCTGGTCCTTTAGAACAATGTATTTTGTCACTTTGTGAGCAATAAATTCGTTTTTTATTTTTTGTATATAGGAAAACAGTGCTCGACTATTACTATACACACACATACACACACATATATTGTATATATGAAGGTAGTCTGGCAGTGGAACCGTGGCCCCAAAATCAACCCAATCAATGAGACACTTCCTGATGCCAAGCACAATAATGCAAACCTTTTGGTCAATAATTACATCATTACGTAGACGCTGTTCCGGACATACTCTTAATCATATGTATTTGTGGGAACCCATTTGAAGTGGATATGTCTTATGATTTAATTGTCAATTCTTCTTTGATTTAATTGTCAATTCTTCTTTGATTTAATTGGTCCATATTATTGTTGTTTTCAGGACATCACGTTGTTTTTATGTTTATTTGTCATTTTTCGAATATTTATTTCAGCTTTAGTTCATATTGTGGCTTTAATAATTTGTCGTTTCTTAGGTGTGATGTTGTCGTTTGTAAGAGCAATTGTCTACTATGTTTATTTGCTAAATTGATGTAATTTACCAGAGATGTTGTAGTGTAGATAATATTTCTCGTTTACAGGACACGTCGGGACTATAATGTTGTGATTATCCAAGTTTTTCTTTGGTCCTTGGAGATTTTATTTGTTTATTTTTTTTACTGGCCCTTTTTTCTAAGATATACAGTTATCTTTAAGTTAGCCTTTTTTTTTTCCTTACGTAATTATGTCTTCTTTTTTTTTTTTCTAAATTATTTTCACTGTCGAGTTTAAAGCTATGTGGCTTGTAATCTTGTCGTTGCTGGAGTTGTTGCATTGGTTAACTTCTCACACATTGTCGTTTATATGCGAAAATTTGTTTTCGTATCCTTTCGTGGGTTCTCTAAGAATGCCGTTCATAATATGGTCGTTTAAAAGATTTACATAATTTGTCTGACTGTTACTTTTTTCTTCTCATTGTCGTTTCCATTGTATGTTGCTTTTGTAAATTATTAGTGGTTTTTTTTTTCAAAAAATATCTTTTATAATATTTTCTGTCGTAGCATGTTGTTTTTTTCATACATATTGTCGTTTATAGGGGATAATGATGTTTTCTTAATCTTTTGTTAGTTTCTTACTATCTTGTTGTGTCAAATAGTAAATGCAGAAAGTGACAGAAAGACAAATAGTGAATACAGGAAGAGTGACGCTAGAAAATAGATAATAACAAAAACCTCAAACCGTATTTTTTGATTTTTTGATTTTTTGATTTTTTTTTGGAATGAAACCTCAAAGACGAATAGAGAATTAATGGAAACGGAGTATATACGTGGAAGTTTTTTTTCCTTCAAAAAAAAAAAAAAAAAAAAAAAAAAAACTTATGTACATGAAAAAGAAAGACAAGCGCCATAGCCACAAAATAATAGCTGTAACACTTTGCAAAGCTCAAAATCTAAACGGTATATACACAAGAAAACATTGAAACTAATTATGTTGTTGATTCTATATCTTTTATTTCTCATAGCATCAAAACAAAGCGCAGTTGTTATAATACTAGCAACATACATACGTCCACCAACAAGAAATTAGGACCTGAATATATAAAGTTGTGCTTCTATACAATTGTGTGACACAAGCTAGAAAGTTCATTGAATCAACTTCTTAAAAATATGCTTTGACTCCTATCTAGTCCTGGTGCTTTAGAACAATGTATTTTGTCACTTTGTGAGCAATAAATTCGTTTTTTATTTTTTGTATATATGAAAACAGTACTCGACTATTACTATACACACATATATTGTATATATGAAGGTAGTCTGGCAGTGGAACCGTGGCCCCAAAATCAACCCAATCAATGAGACACTTCATGATGTCAAGCACAATAATGCAAACCTTTTGGTCAATAATTACATCATTACCTAGACGCTGTTCCGGACGTACTCTTAATCATATGTATTTGTTGGAACCCATTTGAAGTGGATATCTCATATGTGGGTCGACCTCAAGGAATTTCAAAAGCGTTTGCATATATCCTCTATCTCTCATTTTCTCATTTGAGCGGTTGGCTGTAGAAAAGGAATTCTAGCTGACTTGGATTACAGAAAATTGAATTAATCTGACGTTTATAATATTTATGACATAACTTTTGTTTAGTATAACTCCATTTAAAAACTTGGTGCATATTATAATATTCGGCCATCAATTCTTCTTTGATTTAACTGTCAATATCAGAAGAATTAATAGTCATTTATCTTTCAGAAGAAGTTAATGACGTCTTTCTTTGATAGGATTTCGTTTCTTTTCTTTTATGCAGTTTTAGTACTATTTTGGTAATGGATAAAAACATTTGTCCACTAAAATCTCATTTTGTAGTGGTCATAAATAAATTTGGTCCACTTTAAAATTGAATTGGTTGTAGTAACTTATTTAGGTTTGTTATTTTCGTGTCATTTCTTTCCAAACGTCTGTAAGATTTTAGGTGGGTGAATATCGACATCGGCAACTTGTTCATTATTATATTAATCGACATTAGAGAATTGTGGTGTTTGGAAGAGTCAAAAATTTTATTTGTTTTCTTTATGGAGTTGCACTCACACCAAAAACAGAAAAAGTGGAAGGAAAGGAATCATTCTTACCATTTTTGTTTGTTTTAATGAGTCATTTATTATATTAATAGTAGTATTTTTATATGATCAATAATTGTAATATCTCTTTTGATTGAAAGAAATCGCTATCTCTATCAGAATATATATATATAAACAATTGAATAATAAAAGTATGTGCACAACTAATCTAAATAAAATGAGATTTCTGCTTAACAGACAGAATCTATGAACAAATTTGGTTTTATTGGTATATATATTCATCCGACTCAAATTGGACTAGACTTGTAAAATCATTCGTAGCCTTTATCTAATAAAAGATTA